GGATACCTATGTTTCTGTTTTAATCATTTGTTTCATTTGATACTTATGTTTCTCCATTAGTCATTTTATTTCTTTGGATACCTATGCTTCTGCTTCAGCCATTGCATTCTTTTGGATACCTATGTTTCTCCAATACCAATTTTATTTCTATGAATATTTATGTTAATTTATTAGCCCTAAATATGTCTCACGAAAGATATTAGAGGACAGGGAACTGAATACATAAATCACTTGAATGAACAGTCTCAATCCTCAGTACCAAGGACGCCCACCAATTCAACACGTGCCTGTCTGTGGCACTCAATCGTTTGCCTTGACCACCTATAAAGTTCGAATCATTTTGTTTTATAACGTCTTACACACCAATAAAGAAATATATCAATATTGCGGAAATTAATGAGCCATGATGCTCTAAAAATAAAATACGCGTCTCCAATATTCGCTCGTAAATGTCGACTTGTATCATTTGTGCATTATTAAAGTATGATTCAGCCTTCGTAATGTTGTTAAATCTCACTATATAAAGTCTATCGAACTTTTAAAATAGTCACGACTTTGCAGCGAGAATATTCCCGCCTCGACAGTGTACTCATATAGTTGATTTATGTCCGATCCCGGGTGCTCCGTCATGTGTCCAATTTTCTGAAGCGTTGTGTCACCATTTGCTGATCATGTGGAATTGCTGCTGATGTGACGTGTCACAGATAAAGAATACCGAGAAGACAGCAAGTAGACGCAAGATGCTTTTTATTTTATTAAACGTAGGTGTGGCAAGGAGGTCATGTGTCATTTAAATAAATGTATGTGCATATGGCGATTAAAAATCGATAATTTTGACAAGAACGATTTATATTTAGAATCAGAATCTGAATATTAATGGTAGCGCCTTTGGGAATCAATTGATATAACCGCGTTAATAATTAACATTAGGGTCATAAGTGGCGCATGCGCGTATGGTAATTTCACCAGAAATGCAAGCTGGCATTATTCATTCTTGCATTCATCATGATGTGTACATGTAACGGGGTTTGTTCGTTTATACCATTCATCTGTGCGAATTAAAAGACATTCTCCTTAAAATGAAAATGTGCATGTATCCATGAAAAGATAACCAGCATGAGTTCTTTTTATTAATCGTATGAACTTGTAAATGGCGACATTGTGTCGGTTGTTACGATACTCATCAACGTTAAGTTCACTGTTACTCCATCTGCACACTTGAGAAATTAACTTACAGAGTGTATGTTGCAAACGAAATTTAAAAAATGTCACAGAAACCAATACACCTTGAGCACGACCTTTTGTTGTCGTATGTAACACAGCATGCCACATCCGAAAACGGATGCGTATATCTGGCAGTGTTCTACGTACATATCTGATGGGCGAAGTTAGAATAACATTTCAGGAGACTCTACACTCACGAATAATGTCTAACACGTTGATTCAACCTCATAAATTTACAATAATATTCAAATGTGATTTGATTTCATTAATTAAAAATACTAGACAAATATTTAATCTCCTGTTGGCGTGGGATAATGAGAAGACGGCGGAAAGTCTGGTGATTGACGCGTATAACATGACGGTCGGTTACCAAGAGCGAAGTTGGTTGTCATAGTCACCAATAACAATTAACATAAAACTTGCGCACAGTATAAGCGCACTGCATACCGGTGACGTGTTATATACACGGATGGTCGGCCACTAAGGAGTTGTTCTCCTTTGTCGCGTGGCAACAAGAAAACCTGAATTAATTAGTTACATTTCGTATTAGTAATTTCAGTCGATGATGGAAATCATAGTTTGCCGCCTTTCACATTCCCGACCGTTTAACGCAAAGCATTATGGTTCTCTCGTGAAATTGAATTTACCTCGGCATTTTTATAACGATTTTCGGTTTGGTGTCGACATGACGATAGGTAATGAGATAAGTTACCATGGTAACGAGTACGCGTGTCATGTATTCAATTATTTTATCATCTGCCCGTCCAAAGAAGGAGGAGTATCAAACAAATAGCGCAAATTATTTTGTACATATGCTCATAATTTTAAAAAGTCGTTATTTTAGTTTGTTGCCGTGAGCTCCGTATTTGGGTTTCGCGTCGTATTAAAAATATATGCGTTGATTGTCTTTACTGTTTAGGTTCATTGAATGTAACGATATAAATCTCTTTAGTTCGATACAGACCCGTGATTCAGTCAAGCCGTAATAATTTTCATCAAGACTTAATACATGCGGGGTATCTTTGTTCTTGATTGATGTTCAATGTCCACTGACAGTAATCGTACAGCTGAATTGGCTAAACCAATCAGCTTGTGAATAACGTGAATTGCGCCGCGTGCGTTCAAGTTGAACACATGGGAGCCGCGGTCCAAGCACATGCGCTCGAGCACACGACTACACAGAAACTAAATTTGGGACGCCCCCCCCCCCTCCAGTGTGAAGTCAGACCTTCACATACTGAAAAGTATCGAAATGTGGGAAGCTATCCCCCCCTCCGTACATTAGTATATTTTTTTAAATCATTAATAAACAAATTTTTAAAATGTTCAACGCCTTGATCTAATAATATCATTTGCGTTTGTAAACTTTTTAGTTCAATATGACGTAACACACAATTAAAACGTGAGCCTCTCTATGATCGACATAGCTCCGCGCCACTCGCTCAGCATCTTACCTCCTATCGAAACAAATGTTGAAATTTATAATTCTGAGCATAAACCTCGAAGTTATACTGAAGCGAGATGGTTATGGAAGCGTTCGTCAAGTTGTAGCAGCGTAAAACCTTCATTCATGTATATATATATATATATATCTGATGAATACTTACATACCAAGAGCTGGACTGAGCGAAGAACTGCTTTCATTAAGCCAGATGAGTGGTCATCAACAAAACGGCGAATAACCGCGGACAAAATTGATTAGCTGGAAGCCGGAGTATTGTTTTAAGCCGCAGAACATTAATACACTCGGATTTTGTGAATTAAATGCCTATGGTATTTGAAGACAGAGACTTGCAGCCTGAATGGACGAGGCGATGAAGTTACTGTGAAAACTCCCAGACTTCCTTAGCGAAGACGACACATGATGGAAAGGCCTTTTGTACAAGTTATAATGAATGGCTTATACCAATTCAACATAGGGTAGGGTGGAGTATTTCATGAGGGTTGCGTGACTGTCGAATCAAGGTGACATTTTCCATATTTGTCGTCTGTCCAGAACTGTTCATAACAACTTAATTAATTCAATACCTACAATTAGGTCACTCATAAGTGTCTCAGTGACGTCAAAGTAATACCAACGATGTCTCGTTGTTGGTTACCATGGGAACATAACCTGTTTAATTTCTTCGGACTCCACTTTGCCAAGTGGCACACAAACACACATATACATGTTGTCCATGGCGTAAATATATCCTGATATTATACTATTATTTATGAATTTGTCTTGAATACTCACAAACGCCGGCACACTCCTTTTATTCGATCGCGCATACAAATTGTAGCAGACATAATTAGAGATAAATATAAAAATATCAACCAAGTATGGGCCTCGCGAAAATTATTCAGTCGTTCAACTGCAACGAACACAATTTCGCTCTGATTCACCTTTGACCCTCGGCGCTTGTTATTTCAACCTACGGATTACATTTTATTGATAGCGTCTCCTCTCAGATGCGAATGCAATAACGACAGGCGCCATCCATTTAAACTCCCATTTCATCATACAGAATATTCCGTATTTTCGAAATTCAATTTCTAACGGGGAAAAAGGACGTGAAAAAAAGCCTCCTGGCAAACCGTGCCGTGCGAAACGTGATGTTGTAAAGGAGGAATGGTCGCCTTGACGCGCAGTGTTCGACACGGGTTTTATACGACGTACACAGCGCGTGTCATATAGACATCTACACGAAACTCAACACTCCGCTTTAGCGGGTATCAGTATGACGGAGAGAGGAACACCTTCGCAGTGAGCATGCATTTTCTACTACAAATATCATTGGGTATTGGAGACACACATTTGATCAAATTACTGAGTTATAAATTACTTCCGTTTATCAAATTATGCACATCCCTAATTCGAGGTCAAAAACTCGGGGTCAAAGGTCAGAATGGTATGATACAAGATTAACTATAGCGGACAAATAAACCATATGTATGCTTTTTTTCATGATCTCCAATATTATTGCGAATGAAAGAGCAACAGATTCACTTGAATAGATGGTCTATGCCCGAGCTACGACTCGTCAACAGGAGTCAATCGAACTCAACTGAACTGTTGTCTACCCCTTGGTAAGGACGCAGCGTTGAATGTGCTGTCTGAGACGACAACTGTTCAAAATAGAGTCTGTACACCTGACAGTCTTAGATTACATCTTATTAGCATATAAACTTTCACTACTCAATCAAACGCCTTGATAGGGATAAATTGAACGCGGACGATCGGGGGATAGTCAACTTCAAACGGTATCAGTAGACTCTTTTAACAGATGTTGAAAATTGGGAAGTGTAGTGAAAGCAAATTCCGGGATAAAAATTCAACATTCTCTCAAAAATATTGGTTTAAATGTAAAATTAAACCAGAATCCAAAAGTAAATCCCCATAAACGCAACAGACGAACATATTTAGTTAAGACCGCAGAATATATTTGAAGTGTCGTAGACAGTGACTTAACTCGCCTTTAAATGTAGTGCTGTCGTACGCTTAAACTATACATTAATTTAATTAACTAAGAGATTCTAATTGTGTGTGTTTTTCGAAATTACGTCATTCTGTATCACCTTACCTTGCTTAGTAGTTCTCTTATAGTGATGATGTTCGTTCGAGGTTTCAACAATCTTACTTATTAGCCACGCATGTAATTTCGGTATAACTGTGTCCGTAACCTGAAAGTTGGAATAGAAGATACGGATTACACATTGTCAAGTGAATTCATCTCCTCCTCTTTGCGACTGCAGGTGTTTTTATTTTCCCCTGGTTGATGAGTTCTGCTGCTCAAAGCTGAAAAAGCGGTGGTGTTGCATAGCAATACACAGACAGCCTAGCTTGTACGCTTTGCCGGAATGAACAGTTGAGTTTCACAACGTATGGGGTTTTTTTTCGCTATAAGATAAAGAATACACGTGGGTAATAGAAAATGGAGATTGTCAGAATGCTGCATGAACTGAGAAGCTAATTACTTCGCTAATCATGTGTTGGGTCAATACAAGTCTCGAGACGCCATGAAGAGTGAGATACCGATACTGGTTGACCATCCATCTACCCACTCGTCTTGGAGATCCAGGTGCCATCGATGCCTTTAACAGTTTTCCAATTTCCCTGATTACTTATTAGAAGGCGTCTCGGTGTAATTCGTGTAGCAGACTCCGCCGTCGCGTCAAAAATGCGACTAATTTCCAAGTTGATATCCACGCTACCGCTATCACTGTCTCTATTACTTTACACGGAAATTATAAAAAAGCTTGTTAAAGTGTCGTTTTATTGGAATAGACGGCATTGGAGCCTCCAAGGTCGCAACCGCTTCCACACGGATAGTACTCATCGAAAATGTCTTTTAGAGCCAATTATGGAAATTTAGTTATAATTAGCGAAGCACGAGTAACATTAATTAACTAATAAAGACTAAATTTGATAAAGTCTTACATATCAAGTGACAATTTAGGAAACACTTTATTTGTTTAACAGGGGTTTGCAGTAGATTTTTCTGTTACCGGAATCAACGACTTGTTCAGCCGAGCATCTTGCATATTGGTAATACATTACAGCCTCTATGTAGCTAATCGCGCTTGCAGCACCGACACTTTTATACAAGACATTTGATTCTACTGACGTAATACAACACATATTGGGAACCCTGGGGTGCAGTAGGCGGCTCAGGTTGCATTGTTCACTGACCCTTACCACATATGTATATTGCTTCTCCCATCATCAAGTACATTCCGATTTACGGAAACTCGAATCAGGCGATCGACTCGCGAGATGTTCCCGCGCATGCGCAGATTTCAGTAGATATAAATCATAATAGTAACATATACAACCAATATACTAGTACATGAACGCGTAGAAGACACGTCAAATTATAAATACATTCTGAACGACTTTTTAAATGGATAGCATCACACGAAAAGAACGCAAAGTTATTTATTAACTATTAGTAGACACCTTATTCCTATTCTAGACAAAAATATCGAACAGTGCAAATGTTTGCACCAATAGTAAACTGGGTGAGAGATAAAGCGTGCAGAATAGTCGTTCACCACGTACAAACTGCAGATGGCGTCGTTCGTCACATCAACGTATATATTCTTTTGTATTAGTTTGCTTTCTTGAACGATTTCTTACAATGGAGAAATAGCTGGAGCTGAAATTATCGTTATATTCTTTAGTCCCACTTTTTTCGTTGTATTTGGATCGCCATACAGCCATCGGAACACAGCTTGGGCATAACATGTGTTTTATACAAGTCAGATATTTCGATACTGTCCTGAAACGCGTTTCTCGGAACACGAGTGAATTCAGGTACATTGTATAACAGATCGATTGCCAAAGTCGATTGGCATTATGGGATATTAAATACTGGTATAATGTACGACACTTCACTAAATGTGTAAATTGTTAGTATACTGTGGGTTTACTTGCTCAGCAAAATAAGAAAATTAGTATATTAGTACATATGTTGTCTCAGTACAAATTGACATAGACCCTGTAAAATTACGATGATGAGTGTTACGCATGGGGTCCGGTTTCTTACTCCGTGGGAAAGGAGCGTGGTCCGGGAAAAAGTAGTAGTTATCAGTTCATAAGCATAACACCACAACTGAAATGCGGCATAGTAACACTGTAGTTGTTGGGTACTGAAAGTTATAAAGCAACAATGAATAAGTATTACCTTACAAAGCAGCGATGCTATCGCGTGCACTTCAATTTCAATTTCAGCTTCCAAAGTTGTCGCGTTAAAAGTAATTGCATTTATACACCTATTTTAAGGCGTGTCGCGGCACGTTCACAGTCTTAGATAGTATTACCTTCCGGTAACCACATCGGGTGTCGTTATTACGAGACAATTCACTCGGTATATCGCCGATTGACAGCTTTTCCAGTAATACATTTTTACGCAATATCGATTATGTTGTATTGTAGGGATGGCGCAATTTATCACTATTACCGCGTTTTGTCATGCGATCGCACGTAATGAATGAGGGGCGTCTGTAACGGAACACCGATTAATAACCGGAAGCTTTTAATAACGGAGTGTCGCAGAACCATTACACTTGTCACTCACACCTATATTAGAAGAAGCGTGCGGTTCTAAAATGAAAATGAAAATTACATTGCGATTTCATACTGATATGTACAGAAGTACTATCAAATACTTTAAACACGTATTCCAACCTGTGTAGGATTCGGGGCAACTAATAAATAAAGATTTTTCAAGCAGTCAGTGTGAGCTCGAATGTGGAAAAATGCCCCTCGTTTTAACTTCAACGTCTCCTATTTTGAATGGTTTTTCCCCGATCGCGATGACGTATTTTTGGGGAAGCCCTTTGGTATCACGAGTTGCCACTACAAGGTATGTGATTTAATTGGTAGGCTTCTTGTATTTTCTCATGAATTGTTGTAAAATGACGGAGAAAATTCGAATCATTTATCTCTCTACTGCAGTGTACGTGTTGTGCGTGGGCACGCCTGTAAGCACCTGCTCTTAGGTAAACTAGCCTAATTCGATAAATTAGACGGACAGAATAATTTGTTAAAGCTCACACCGGTCCGCTACCTTGAACATTTCTATTTTCAGATTATGTTCTCCCCGCTGGAAGCCACGGTGACGTAAATTGCGATAAACGTCAAAGGATAAAACGAAAATCCCTTGCAGCGACCTTTGTGAGGGGTTTGGGTTTTTTGCGTAGGCGGTGATTGATGTTATCTGGCATAGATAACGCGTTCATTCATAACGAGCCGCCCTGACATGATCACCCCGACTTAACCTATTTGAGTATTGCCTCAAAATGGTGGTGTTGCAGACTGTTTTAGTGGGGTCACGGTTCAAAAGTCCGATCTCCACGAGTAACATTTTGACAACTAGAATTGCCGAGTACGATTCTCAGCGTCTATTAAATTAAACCAATGTTCTATGAGAACATGCCCCATTTCCGGTTGTTTCAGGTAATAAAAAAAAAACGTACGCATCAACGTTCTGTGCAAAGCTGTACAAACACTACATTCAATCGGATCTCACGATTTCGTTACAGACAGGAAGTGTAATATTCACTTTTTTCATCGTTTACTTCCGTCAATTTCCTTAATAGCCAACACAGGTGAGTGCAGTAGGGACTAAAGATCATCACAATACTATCGATCTGTACGACTAATGACATTATGTCCATTCCAGTGAAAGACAATAATACGTATCGAGAATACTACTAGTTTCACTTTCGTTTTATTTTGATATCGAGTCAATTCCGTAGATGCATACATATTCATGAAGAATATTTTTACGCGTGAAAAATTGAAGTTGGTGGCTTGAGATGCGTCGCCTAACACATACGGTGCTACAGGTGTCGCCTTGTTCGTTACCTCCGATTCGTTAAAGACATATGCCGTCTTCATATTGAACTTGAAGACAATTGTGATATTAGTATTCCGTTCCGGAATAAGATAATAAAAATTATAATTTATGTTATCATTGCGTGGGTTAATTATCCGAGACCGTTGTCAGTGTATGTCACGCGAAACCAGGGAGCCACCAACGATCGTTAGTTACGCATGTCATTTCTGGTACATTTAGTGTCTTTAAAGATGGAATTTTCGGATATTAGAATCGACAATGACGGACCATGCTTTCTCCAGTAGATACAAAATCGCAAATACAAGTCGATGAAAGCATACTATTTCCCCATATCATACTATCGGAACAATCACCCATCGATTATATGTACTCAGAACAGCGAAAATGCGACAAACGAGATTTGGTGTATTCTAATAATTTGCATATCGATATATCGATATTACACGCGATGATATACCCAAACATGTGTTATACCATATACTTCACTAGTATTGCCAGTTGAATCGAATCGAAATGAAGCGAATGGCTATGTGGCTACGTGAAATACTAGTAATTATCTCTGCTTCACCTCGATGGCTACAAATAGGTACTTAATACAAGCTCCTCCTTAGGTTGTTTACATATAAACAATTTGTCGGTACGACAGTGTTCGGTAAACACTTGAAACGTATCGAATAACTCACTAACGCCATATCTAACACTAACTACATGACCTTTTAAAGAGAGTCATTTCCGAGTGTTGTTGTTTTCGCAAAAATAACAAAACGCACATCGGTGATCCGACAGTGCAGTCGGGACGTTTATTGTGGCTGACTCTCAAGACGTCACGGCTGTCTCGAGGGTTTGACCATTTGAAAATCGTGGAAACTGAAAATTTGTTGAGACAAAATGTCAAACTGGTCATTGAGGGGATGAAAAATAATTTCTGTTTAAGAAATTATCGAGAATACTCAACAATGTTTTGCACCAATAAAAACGATAGATTTCAAACTAAACAAACATAAACAACAACCAAGAACTGCGCTTCTTGTGCTTGAATATCCCCCTTATACTAGCCATTAGTACTTTCCTGTCGGTTGTCTTCCTCTGACTGACCATCCGGCCTCCAAAGTTTGTTAGTGGAAAAAGGCCAACCGACTGGACTGTGCTTGTGGTAGGTAATGCGTAGTACGTCCATGTGTTTGCATGCTATTCAGACTCAGTCATTGAATCTGATTCCTTCTTTATCGGAATGAACATGAGCCCACCCAAATTGCTACCTTAAAAAAACAATTAACTTCCATTTCTCTGTACGTGGATTTTCTTAATTTATTACACTAG